TTTTTTTTAAACCACTTTGTCCAAAAAAGCATATTTTTGACCCAAAATCAAAAACGCATTCTGGATATTTAAAATAAAGACAAGTTTTACAAAGTTTGTATAATAAGCTTTCAGAAAATATATAACATGTTGGATATATAATACCATCTTCATTGTCTAATTACTCAATTACAAAGCAAGCCAAATAAACTGCATCTCTACCTTAAAGCAGGAGGGTAGCCACCTGCGCACGCGCGGGAATTGAGTCCCAAGCGACGATAACAACACACGCTGAAAACGCAAAGGCTCGTGGGTAGACGCTTGTTTGTAAACAATGACACTGTTGACGCTGCAGGTCGGCGTCCGAGTTTGGCTGGTTCCCTCCTCAAGTGTCATGGCGTACCAAGCCACAAGAGGCCGGTAACTAGTAACGGTTCTGGCATTCTGATTGGTACATCACTTTCTCGTTGCTTGTTCCATTTACCTGACGTCAGCGCTTACGCTCGTGGCCGTTCAGGGGTTTCCTTTTGCTTTCGAAAGTTGGGCGAATAAAAAGAATTGTTTCTTTTGTTATAAATTTGCACAGAACATATCAAATCTGTAAATCTAAGCAGGCAGTATGTATGAGCATGGCTTTATTGTAGCATTACAGACACGTTTACGCAAAACGGAACTTGGAATGTTTTCAAATTACGTCACCCAAATGGAACAATATGGCGATTACTAGTTACGGTGACCACCGAACTCGGCCAGATTTCTACTCGGCCAATGACCGATCACGGCCAGTGACCGTACTCGGCCAGCATATGTGCATAAGGGTGTCAATGATGCAACAGCGAGCGCTGTATTACAGACTGTCAGAGTCATATCACAACAAAATATAAAAAATGTACGGGCGTCAAAGGGTGTCGATTTCAGTGATGCCTATCGTGCTTTGTTAATAAAAAAAGGGATGTCGATTTCAGTGACGAAACAGCCAGCGCTGTGTCTTTTGTCATATCACAGTAAAATGTAAAAAAAAAATAGACGGTCGCCGATGTGATGTCTGTGATTCAATGTAATGTCTGTGTTTTTCCTTTGAAAAGAAAATCTGCGTCACTGAAATCGACAATGTTCAGCCAATGTTGAAATCAACAACATGTCGGAGAACCAGTAGCGTTTGTGTGTGTGTGTTTGTAAACTTGCGTTGTTGAAATCGACAACAAAATAGTCACGGGAGTTGGCGACTGGCCGAGTTGTGCATTTTTTTCCTGGCCGAGTTGAAATCTGGCCGAGTTCGGTTGTATTCCTAGTTACCTGCGTCCTACCTGCCATTCGCAAAGGACGCCGGGAACCAGCGAACGTCCGAGTCAATCGTCGATTGGCACAGGGGGGGGGGGGATTGGCACGAGAGGGCGCCATCTGATCTGAATGAAACGTTTCGACGTTAGTCGTCCGTAGCCCATCGTCAAGCAACAACGTCCCGTTTACGAACAGATAAAA